GCATGGCAGGGCAATAGCAATAACGAAGCAGTGCAATACTCAGTGGAGGCAGTGAATTCTCTATTGAGAAGGGTCTTTATTGAGCAGGGCCTTACTTCATGGGGTTGAAAGCACTTAGAAACTCCCAAATGGCATTACAACTTCTGTTTAGTGCCCTTCTGTTTTAATCTTGGAGCTCTGTTTACCCAAATCTTCTCTGCTGAAACCAAATCAGCAATTCCATGAAAGAGGAATACCTTAACCAAGAAAGCAAAAGCACTGCTCTTCAGTGAGCCACGGATGAACTGTTGTCCATCTGCTGGAAGGTGTTCTCCCTGCGTCTGGATATTTCTGTGCCTTATCATACTTGCTAAAGGTAACTCAGTAACTAGTCTCTGGAAGGTTTGTGGTGACTATGTGAACTGTGCTGTTCTTTAACTTGGAGACTATTTTTGCAAGGGGATAGCAGTTCAGAGCATACCAGATTTTGGAGTTTTCATTTGCTCTTTCAATTTCTCTCATGATCACCGGTTCTCTCTTCCTAAATAGACAGGCAGGAAATGCCGAGGGTCTTCATTCTAATTTAACAAATCACGTTGACCTACTTTGTTATAGCAGTTCTCTACAGGCAGAGTCCGGAACACGCTTGTAGTAGCACGGTCTAGCCTCTTACTACAGAACACAGCTAGTATTTACATTTTTCTTTTGTTTTGCTTGTGGCTGTACAACAGAATTTGTTGTCCCCGGTTGTTCTTCAGCTTTATTCTGCTGTTTTCATGTTGGCCAAACTGGTAACGGACTTCTCAGTTCCCCCCCACAATTCGAGTACCGCTGGGTTCTTCAGGCAACATCTGCCATGGCACGATTATGACCTGGAATATTTTGCTATATTTCAACTGCGGAAGCTGTAGTAGAGGAGACTCTGCTCAAGATACCTGTTCCCAAACTTACACCAATGCAATTATCTCCACCCGCAGCTGGAGGACAGATACGGGTTTTAAAACAGTGCAGATGCAGCCTTAGCATTGCCACCTCTACGTCTTCAGCCTGTAGATTGCAGTGTGAGAATGGGCTACAGTGGTGTCGGTAACCCTGGTACAGCTCGGTGTGACTGCTGCATGGACAGGATATTAACAAATGACGGCAAGCCTTCCGCAATAATTCCTAATTCCATCGATCAGTAGTAAACGATGTACAAATAAAACTTGATTAAATGTATTTTATGTGGAAAAAAATAATGTAAGAACTGTATATTGTATTAGCAGCTTTGTGTATAAAATGGCATTTTGGCAATCAGAGTCTAATATATTTAAAACTTTTTTTTAAAAAAAGGATATTTGATATTGTACGGAATTGACTTTATTGCTACTGTAAGTATGAAAAGATGGTTTCTTAACATGTTGAAGAAAGGCATAAAATCTTAAATGGTATGTAAAACTCATGCCAAAAGGGTATGTCTGACAGTATTAGCACCTGACTCAGTGTCTTTAATAGAGAGATTGAATTTTTTAATTTAAAAATTATATTAAATTTCTTTTAATAATACAGAAAAATGCCACTGACTTTTATTTAATTGGTTTACATTTTGGGACTGCCTGAATATCTGTCTCTGCCTCCCCTACAACCGTTAAGTACAGCCAGGAATTGTCTAGAAGAGTAAGTCTAGGCAGTCGGTAGGTGTAGCCGTCTGTTTTTCAGCAGGTAGCAGTAGTTCCTGACGGGGACAAGCAGGAAGGCCAAAACCTTAACTGCCTGTCCTGGATTTTGTCGTGTCCGAGGCATTCGTCAACGCGCTTTGTTAACAGGGTCCTTCTCGGGGGGAGTTGATTCGGGCGAAGGCACACGCACCCTCACCCTCCCTGACGCGCCTGGCGGGACAGCAGCACACGGCGGGTGAGAGGAACGGCGAGGGCCGAGGCCTCCGCCGGGGCTGGCCACGGGG